TCCAAGAAGCATTATCTCATATCTCCTTAAAATCCAAATTTTATCATTTGCTACCTTTTTAATTAATTTTTCTTTCAATTTCAATTTCAATTTCAAATATTCTTTTCATTTTTTATAAAAAAATCCAAAAAATATTTAGAATTGTTTTTAATTTATTTGCAAAGTAGTTTTTAAATTTGAAAAACCAAAAAGAAACCCTTTTTAATAGCAATTTTGATTTTTAGTTAATTTAGAACTTTGGTAATTTTTTTGGCTCCAATAAGAGAACGACTTTGGTTTACATCACTATATTATATTCTAAATCAAATTTAATTTGACCCAAGGCAACATTGAGGGTCAAATTTGGCATCGTTGCCGGGGAGCCATAGGCTTCTTGGTTAGCTAAGCGTCAATTTTGCTAATTGACTGGGGTTTTTTCTCTTGTTAGTTCTCTTTAACTTAGTTATAGTATTTAGAGAGTCTTTAGTCTTAGGATTGAGTCTTAATTTGTTCTTTTTGGTCGCATATCTCACAGTTTTTGGTTTGCATTTTGCATATTTTTCTTTTAGCAATTGCATATAGATTCATTTCATATTTGCATTATACTGTTGCATGACAAGAGACAACCAACCTTTAGTTTACGATCCTGAATTAGAGTTAACCCTTAGAGATTTAATAAAAGAAAAAAGAGCTAAGGAAGTAAGAGGCAAAGATAATATTCAAAGGGAAGAACCTAGTCTGTCAAGTGCTTCAACTGACTCTAGTCACTCTAAGTCTGAAACTGAATTTAACATGGATGGTACTATCCTTAATGAAAATAATCGAAATAATAATAGGGGCGGTAATGGAGAAGACATAGTAGGCGAAAATAATAGGGAAAATAACGACAATCATAGGAGAAGAACCATAAGAGAAGCCACTACCTATGATGTGAATTATAATCATTTTACTACTGCTTGCCCTAATTTTGATGTGAATTTTGAGATTAAAGGTTTTCTCATTAACTCACTTCCTAAATTTCATGGTTTAACAGGAGAAGATCCCTACCTTTACTTGCAATCTTTGTCAATGATTTGCTAGAGCATGAAACCTATCGAAGCATCTCTAGATCAAGTTTTGTGGAAAGTTTTTCACTTATCCTTGGAGAGTAAGGCAAGGGAGTGGTATATGAGTCTTTCAAGACATGTAGCGAATGCTTATCACAGTTGGGGAAACTTAAGAAAAGAATTTTTGGAGAAGTACTTTCCTGCCTCTAGAAATTCATTAATGAGGAAGGAAATTTATTCTACACGGCAAGAATTCGATGAGTCCCTCTATGACTATTAGAACCGTTTTCAAGACCTCCTGTCAAGATGCCCTCACCATCAGATACCAGATGAGCAATTAGTACAATACTTTTATGATGGGCTGAAAATTCAAGATAAGGTATGTTGGATGCCGCCTTAAGAGGTTCACTGATTGACCTCACTACTGTAGAGGCTTGGGATCTGATTAAGAAAATGGCTTTAAATCACCAGTAATACAATGTGAGGGACACTAAAGAAGTGCATAAGTTGGGAGCATCAACAGTTTACTCAAGAAGAATAGACAGTCTTGAGTTTAAAGTTGACTCTTTGGAAAGTAAAATGACCTCTCAACTATCTCTTATCAATGCAGAGTTGAAAAACATGAATGTGCATCATCCACTAACTCCAATGGATCTTACTGCACCTAGCTGTGAACATTGTGGTTCTGTGATGCATATTTCTAGTGTATGTCCTAATCAGTATGAAGAGATATCTACTGTCTATCAGGGTCGGCCAAATCAGAAGTGGGATCCTTATTCTAATATGTATAATGAGGGTTAGAAATTGAACCCTAGACTTGGCTGGAGAAATGAGGAAAGCAAGGCTTTAAGTAGATTTCAACAAGGTAGAGGAGCTGGTCTATCCACTAACCAGTTCCCAAACAAATAGTAAGCCTTGACTGTTCCACCAAAGGATGACACTAATCAGCTCTTATATAATATGATGACATTGATGAAAGAGGAAAGGGCTTCTAATGCCAATCAATTCAATACCCTTGCTTTCCTAATACAAAAAGATTCTTCCAAAAATGATGCCAGGATTAATACCTTAGAGAGAAGAATTGAGCAATGGGAGAAAAAAACTGAGAATATCAACTCCTATGTCACTCAGCTATCTAACAACATGAGTGACCAACAAGCTAGAAGTAGTGGCACCATTCTTTCAAATATTGTCATAAACCCCAAGGGTTTGAATGAAATCACACTGTGAAGTGGGAGGCAAGTAAGGTTCAGTGAAGAGGATGAGGAATCAGTAGATAAGGAGATTGAGTGTGATAAGCCTCTTCCCACACCTACAAGGGTTAAGAATTATGAGAGCAGAAAAGAGAGAGAATTGCTAGCTGACAAGAAGTCAACCATTCTGAATAGCGAAGAAGCAATATCTGAAAGAAACCATGAGTGAGTAACTTCAAAAGAGCATGTTGAGTCATCTAAGCATGGAGCCGATAAGCTCAATGATAAAGAGGTAAATCTCAAAGACCTTCCTTTTCCTAATTCATACTTGATGAGCAAAAGAAAGACTGAAACTAAGCATGAAAAAGATATTATTGATTCGTTTAGTAGAGTGGAAGTCAATATTCCTTTGCTTGATCTTGTGAAGAGGGTTTCTGCTTATGCCAAATACCTTAAAGACCTGTGTACCCATAGGAAGAAGTTTAGACTAAATGAAAGAGTCCAAGTGAACTCAAATGTGTCTGCCCTGTTTAAACCTCAAATCCCTGTGAAATGCCAAGACCCTAGATCCTTTACCATCCCTTGCACTATAGGAAAAGTTTCTATAAGGGGAGCCTTGTTAGATCTTGGGCAGCTATTAATGTCATGCCTAAGTCCATAAACACTTCACTAGGAGTCAAGACTCTTAAGTCAACCACTATAGTACTCCAGTTATTTGATAGGACTATTAGGTATCTGGAAGGCATCATAAAGGATATTTTGGTCCAGGTTAAGGATTTAGTCTTTCCTGCTGATTTTTATGTACTTGATATGTCTTCTGAGCTTGTTCATGACACCACACTGATTCTTGGTAGACCTTTCTTGAGGACTGCTAATACTATGATTAGCATGAAAGAAGGTACCATCACTATGGAAGTAGGAGATCATAAGGTTTGTTTTAACATGTATGAAGCAATGAAGCATCCTTATGAAGATTATTCTCTTTTGGGTGTTAATATGATTGATATTGCTATTGATGATGCTTGTTCTAAGTTTGAATTGCAAGATGATTCCTCTAGTTTTGAATTTTATTTACTTGATTCTGCTGATGATGAGGATGACACTATTTGTTCTTTTTCATCTCTTTATTCTTTTCCTTCTACTTGCTCATGTGGAGCTGATGTAACATGCCTTAACTGTACAGTAGTTAATTGCATGCTTTCCATTACAGAAACATTTACTATTTTATCTACTGATTCGCATGAGTTCCATTCCTTCTACTATCAGTGATGATTCTCTTGGAGAAAGGTTTTCTGTTGATGTTTCAGATGATTCTAGCATATTGGAGGCTGACACTGCAGTGGCAATTGATGAAGTTGGCTCGCCTCAGCGAACATGCTTGACTGAAGACAACGGAAATAGTCCACTTTTAGCGATTCCACCTGCTCATATGATGCAGAGACACCTTGAGTTAAAGGATTATTCTCAGTCCCTTACATCTGCTAACTTATCTACTTTTAATTCTTTTCATACCATGAGATATTTGAATGAGTTGTTATCGAGTGATGATTTAGGTATGCAAAAGAATTCATCCAAGGCAATTGCTATAATAGATCAACTTGATATTAGTTCAACGCTTGGAAAAGTTAGAGATTGTAAAGCTAGCCACATGGGACCTGAGCTGTCACTAGTTGAAAGCAAGGGGAGTAATATGTTCTCTCTTGAACTTCAATAACTAATTCCTTCTATTGTGCAACCACCTGTCATTGAATTAAAACCTCTTCCCCCTACTGTGAAGTATGCTTTCCTAGAGTTTGATGAGCGATTACCTATCATTATTCCTAACTCCCTTCTAAGGTTGAGGAAGAGAGATTCCTTGCTGTATTGAGAGAGCATAAGAGGGCTATTGGGTGGATTTTAGTGGACATTCCAGGGATTAGTCCAGCCATTTGCACACATAGCATCTTGCTTAGTGAAGGTTCCAAACTAGTGAGACGACCCCAGAGAAGACTAAACCCCCTTATCTTTGATGTGGTTAAGAAGGAAATCACTAAACTTCTGAGTGCTGGAATCATCTATCCCATATCTGATAGCGAGTGGGTTAGTCTGGTACATGTAATGCCCAAAAAGAGTGGGGCTACTGTGGTTAGAAATGACTAGGATGAGCTTATTCCTATGAGAATTCAGAATTCCTAGCGTGTGTGCATAGATTACAAAAAACTTAACAATGCTACATGAAAAGATCATTTTCCTCTTCCTTTCACAGACTAGATGCTTGAGAGACTTGCAGGCAAATCTCACTACTGTTTTCTAAATGGTTTCTCTGGGTACTTTCAAGTACCTATTGCACCAGAGGACCAAGATAAAACCACTTTCATGTGTCCTTTTGGTACTTTCGCCTATCGTAGGATGCCTTTTGGACTATGTAATGCTCCAGGGAATTTCTAGCATTGTATGATGGCTATATTCTGTGATTTCTTAGAAGAATGCATGGAAGTCTTTATGGATGATTTCACTGTTTATGGTAGTTCTTTTGATGATTGTCTTGTTAGTTTTGCAAGAGTTTTGAAAAGATGTATTGAAAAGAATTTGATTTTGAACTTTGAAAAGTGTCATTTCATGGTCAATGAAGGGATGGTGCTAGGTCATTTGATTTCTAGAAAGAGAATTGAAGTTGATAAAGCTACGATTGAGGTTATATCTTCTTTGCCTTATCCTACTTGTGTTAAAGATATTAGATCATTTTTGGGTCACGCAGGATTTTATAGGCAGTTTATAAAAGATTTCAACAAGATTGCTTTACCTCTCTCAAAGCTTTTACAAAAAGATATGAAATTTGATTTTGATGATTCTTGTACAGTTGCTTTTGATGATTTAAAGCCTAAACTCATTTCTCCTCCTATTCTTGTTGCCCCTAACTGGACTTTGCCCTTTGAGATTTCATGTGACGCTTCTAATTTTGCTGTAGGAGCTATGTTAGGCTAGAGGGAGGAGAAGCTCTCAAGAGTTATTGCCTATGCTTCGAAAACATTGGATACAGCTCAAATCAACTACACAAAAAAAAAAAGCTGTTTGCAATTGTTTTCACTTTAGAAAAGTTTAGGCCTTACTTATTAAACTCTCATGTGACTGTTTTCACTGATCACGTAGCTATTTGCTATCTTCTTAAGAAACCACAATCTAAGCCAAGATTGATTAGGTGGGCATTACTTCTCCAGGAATTTGACATTGAAATAAAGGATCCAGTAGTGGCAGAGAACCATGTAGCTGATCACTTGAGTAGGCTACCAAATGATACACAGGAAGTAGACTCTTCTGAACTCACCTGTGATTCCTTTCCTGATTCAGTTTTATGTGCCTTGGCTATTAAAGAGCCTTGGTATGCGCATATTGTTAATGACTTAGCCCTCCTTTTATGTCTAAATTTTAGGTACAAAAACGTCAGATCGAATCAAGACATTAGATTTGGGATGCTCCTCATCTGTGGTGGATGTGTAGTGATCAAGTCATAAGAAAGTGTGTGCCTAATAAAGAGTTTGAGTCTATTATTGCAACTTGCCATTCCATGGCTTGTGATGGTCATTTCAGTATAAGGAGAACATCTAGAAAGATTTTAGAATTTGATTTTTATTGGCCAACCCTTTTTAAAGATTCTTATGACTTTTGTTGGTCCTGTGACAAATGTCAATGTTTTGGAGGGTTAGGTAATAGACATGAAATGCCTCAACAACCTTTACTACTTTGTGAAATCTTTGATGTTTGGAGAATTGACTTCATGGGTCCCTTTCCTTTGTCCTTTGGTTTTATATATATTCTTCTAGCTGTTGATTATGTTTCCAAAGAAAAGATGACGCCCAGGTAGTTTCTAAGTTTCTTAAGTCCAACATTTTCTGTAGGTTTGGGATTCTAAGGGCTGTGGTGAGTGATAGAGGTACACATTTTTGTAATAAGGTAGTAGATAACCTGCTTTCTAAATTTGGTGTTACTCATAAAGTCTCCACTACATATCACCCCCAAACTAATGGTCAAGCTGAAGTGTCCAATCGAGAAGTGAAACAAATATTGGAGAAGATAGTCAAACCATCCAAGAAAGATTCGAGTCTATGATTAGGAGAAGCACTGTGGGCCTACAGAACTGCCTATAAGTCAGCAATTGGAATGTCTCCTTACTGCTTAGTCTTTGGCAAAGCATGCCAACTACCAGTGGAATTGGAGCATAAAGCATATTAGGCAGTCAAACAGTGCAATATGAACTTGGAATCTTTTGGGATGGACAGAAAGTTACAGCTACAAGAATTAGAGGAGTTGAGATTGGAGGCTTATGAGAACTCTTAACTTTACAAGGAGAAGATAAAATTTATGCATGATAAGGGTCTCTACGGAAGAATTTCAAGGTGGGAGACAAAGTACTGATGTTTAAGGCCAGATTCACATTTAAACAAGGAAAGTTCAACACTTGTTGGGATGGGCCTTACACAGTCACAAAGGTGCACAATTTTGGAATGGTAGAGCTTCTTAATGAGGAGACTAGAGCAAAGCTTTAAGTCAATGGTCACCTTTTGAGGCTTTACCATGAGAATCATCGACCTCCATGACTCAAAGATTGTTTCTTTCCTTCACTTATTTACTTACTTTTGCCTTGTGAATGCTCGTGATATGTTTTGGGACTTTAGTTTGTGGAATAAGTATGGGGGAGAAACTTCTTCAGTAGGAAAAGTAGAGTAGCTTTTAGTTAGTTCATTTTTTTTTCAATTCAATAAATGCTGTTTCTTTTTCAATTCAATAAATCCTCTGAGCTCTTGCTTAATCTTCTACACACTTAGTCATTATTATTTATTTGATCTTACTCTCCATATTGTTTTGACTTATCTCTCACACTTCTCTCCCTTCTTGAAGTGATATGTTGTGCTCAAATCTTGAATCAGACTTCACACCTTTCCACTTTTGCTGAGAGTTAAGTTAAATACAATGTGAGTTTTATACATTGAGGACAATGTATTGATTAAGTGTGTGGGAGAGATAGTATTTTGGTGAATTTGGCTTTGAAACTGAGCTTAACTAAAAAATTGAGGTCTTCAAAAAATTTTCTAGACCGTTCTTGATGCAATTGCTATTCTTCTTTGCATCTTGCTACTGCTGTGAGGCATTATTGCTGTTATGTTAACCATCTTTCTGTTATTTAGATGGTTCAATTTTGCCTCTTTGAATGGTTTATATGACTTTTTGAATGGATTTTATGCTGAACTGTCTGCTGCATGCTTTTGAGCTATGATATTTTAAGTTGTATTGTTGTTACTTTTAACATATTAAGCTTGAATCTTGTTGTTGCTCTATATGTCTTCCAACCTTTCAAAGCACTTTGCTTGAGCTTTTGCAATCCTCTTGAAAATTTAAATCCTTGCAATTTTACTAATGCTTTGAAGAATGTTGCTTGCTCTTAGTTAAATGTGGTGCTTTAATTGAGTTTCATTTATAGAATGAGCATAAGAAGTTCTTGAGTTAGTGCTTTATGATTAGCTTGTGTACAAACGTCTAATGTGAGTGTTCAATTGGAAGATAACCCCTGTTGGAAGGATATTGAGCCTAAACTTTGTTTTCATCTAGAGTGTTAATCACCTAAGTTAATCATCCTCTAGAACTTGTAGAAAGTCTTTGTCTAATCTTAACGGTGCTTTAGTAAATGAATATGATAGGGGCATTCGTTTCAACACCCATTTTCCCAAACACAAGCCTTTTTTTAATTATCCATTGCACAACCCCTTTGAACCATTCACTTTTCAAAAATTCATTGATCATAGCAAGTTGATTTGTATGTCATCACATTAAAGTTCATTATAGGATCTTATCCTTTTAATATATGTTATGCATCATTATTTTTGCCATTGTTTATTTGCTTAGTCAATTCAAGTTGCTTAGTTTGGAATATTCAAAAAAAAAAAGAGAAAAAAAAGAAAAAAAAAAAGAAAAAGAAAGAAACAAAAAAACAAAAAGCATTCTCCTTAGAACCTTGTAAATATTGAGTCCGATGCATGTGCTTCAAAGTCATTGAGAAAGATGCTATTAGCTAAGAGTTATTAAGGTCATGATGCATGCATGTCTCTTGCTATGTTCTTTATTCGTTCCATTTGACTATATTTTCCAACACCACAACCCTCTTAAAGACCCCTTGATTCATGAGCTTTTGCACTGTTAATGATTTGAAATTTAGACTTTTTACAAGCGTATGGTAGGGCTTAGCTTAGGAGGATTGGAGTGAAATTACCCACTTGTAAAAGATAAGAGAAACACTTAATCCCCTTGAGTGCTTCCTGTTCCTTCATTCCCATTGGATTAATTGTGCATCTTGTCTAATCCCTTTGTACTAACTCTTGGGTGACTTATGAGAATTTGAAGGATAAGTTAATTAAATTTTCACATTCATACTTTGAGCTTGTTTCATTCTTAATTGTCTTTAGTAATCGCTTGTGTTTCGTTGCTTTGTCCAAGAGTACAAAGGCTCAAGTGTAAGGGAATTTGATAAATCGTAATTTTATATTGATTTTTCATATCTTATTTGGGATTTTTATCAATTAAATTGGGTTTAATTGCATTGATTATGATTAATTTGGATTAACTGTGATTAGATGAAAATTTTGCTAAAAAGGGCAAAAATATCATATTTTTATGATTTAGTTTAACTGATTGATTTTTTGGAAAAAACAAAAAAGATATCACAGTATCTCTATTTGGGAGAAATTGCAACATTGGAATCTAGGGTTGGAGGAGCATCATCATCGCCTTCTAGAGGGAGAAAAAGATGGAACTGAGGCGGCAAGGCTTGATATTATTCATCTTCACACACACATATATATGTGACCACACGCAGAGAGCAGTAGGACGCCACCCCCATAATCATCATCATCTTACGAAACCCAACGTCATATACCCACCTTCATCATTGTCTTGACCACTGACCGCCACACTAACCATCCTTCATCATCTTCCTCTTCCACCATTCACCATCACCCCTTAAACCATCCACATACACAACCCATACGCACGAAACCAACCACAATCATCATCGTCGTCTTCAAAGCGAAGAGAGGAGAACAAGACAGAGACAGGGGAGGTAGCGAGTAGCTACCCTTCTCGTCTGTGTGAACACGGGCATTGCTCTGTTACTGTCTTCGGCCAGACCCCACAGCGCCTATTTCTTCTTCTTCTATGGCCGCGTTGCACATTGAGCTAATATTGGTAGAATCTCAAACCATGTGCAACCGAGCTTCTTGGCGATGGAGGACTGGATTTGAGCTTCAGAGTTAACTAAGGGAGTATTTCTATTTCAATTCTTTTAATTTAATTGAGTAATAGATTTTCTGAGTTAGAATTGATATTATTTAATTAAATTTTCTGAGGTTATTGGTTGTAATTCTTAGTTTGAAATCGAATTTTTGTGATTGGGATTAGATTTTACAATTTGAGATTTATATAATTATATCTAGTTTGAAGTTCTATGTGATTATGCTATTCTTTCATAGTTTGGATAAATTTTATAATTACATAGTACTTGTTGAATATCTCAAGTTGAGTGTTCTTTGCGTAGAGACCTGAATTACATTAAGTTAATCCTAATTGCACAGTAATTGGTTTTCAATAGTAATTTTTAATTGGTGGTTGTAGTTAAAGTTTTAGGACATCCATTAATTAAGATTTCTTGACTTAATCAGCGATTAAGGTTTTGATTTTGAATTAGTAAACAAAATAACTCTCAGATTATTTTGAGCAAGGATAACCCAATTTTCATTTTCCAAAAAGCATTATCTCATATCTCCTTAAAATCCAAATTTTATCATTTGCTACCTTTTTAATTAATTTTTCTTTCAATTTCAATTTCAATTTCAAATATTCTTTTCATTTTTTATAAAAAAATCCAAAAAAATATTTAGAATTGTTTTTAATTTATTTGCAAAGTAGTTTTTAAATTTGAAAAACCAAAAAGAAACCCTTTTTAATAGCAATTTTGATTTTTAGTTAATTTAGAACTTAGGTAATTTTTTTGGCACTTTGGTTTGCATCACTATATTACATTCTAAATCAAAATTTTGACCTAAGGCGACACCGAGGATCAATCCGTCTCGGCAATAACAAGAAAATGCAGACCCATGGACAACGCTACCGCAGGTTCCTCCAGATTCCACGCATTGTTGGCAGTAAACCGAGTCTGCATAGAAGTTTTCTAACATCTGAGATACCATGTAAATAATTAAAAAAAGTATGACAAGAACAGAACACTGATACGCATAATGCAGAGCATCTGAAGCGCCAAATCGAAGGAACACAGACAGGAAAGTGGGAAAGAGGAAAGGAAGAAGGAGACGGTGAGGAGAAGCATGCAGGCCTCCGTTGCTAACTCCCTGCTTTATGACAGCATGCTGTCTCAACATTTATCAGTCCCAGCTTTTGGTTTTGGGTCAAGGCAGACTTCGACTTCACAATGAAAGGCTGCTATCCTCTCTCCTTATTCATTCTCATCATCCTAAAATCCACTCTTCTTCCCCATTTCACAAATATATGAATAAAAGTGGGTGTTGACTATTCAATTCCTCCTTCCAAGTACACAATCAGGAAACAACCACTCACTTCCCCTTCTCCTTTTTCATACTATTTTCAAAATGGCCCCACTTGTTAGTTTTAATTACTCTTTCTAACAAAAATCTGATTGCTAAAATGATACCATTAAAGTCTTGTGCATACCAACAGTACTATTAATATTTTTGTACCAATAAAATTGAAATATTTTATAATTTACCAAGGAGTCACTATTCAATTATGGTCACATTGGGGAAATTTCCAGTTGTAAATGAAGATCAAGTTTTGTCTTTCCTAAATGTGTGATTTTATATTTCTATTTTTTTTTCCTATTACAAACTTTTTTCTTTTCCCTGTTCAAATGTTTTCAGGTTGATTGTAGATATAGATACTGTTTTGATATAAATTATGATAACTATTCAAATCGGTAATTAAAGCTACCTCATTAAAATTTAATTTGAGCTTACTACAACCAAGAAAGTTGGATTACTGGTAAATAAAAATGAGCTGGGCACTATAGCAGATAAATCATATAGTAGCAAACAGGGCGACCAAGCCTTTGGTTTGTTTCATCGTGGATTGGGTACTTTATTTGATTAATAACTTTCAATTTTGTTAAGACTTCAACTATCAAATATTCCTACCAAACAAGCTAAAGGCTTAATTAACAATGTGAAGGTGAATGAAGTGAAATAAAATGCAGAAAAATCTAACTTCCTAAGAATGAATCATGAGTGCCTCAGGGAGTCTCCTTAGTGACATCATCACCTCTGGTTCGTGGAGAGTACTCTAAAATCTATTATTCTCTGTTGGAAACTAGCAAGGAGTTTTTCTAAGTGATCTCTGAAGATATAACAAATCAAAAAAGCCTATGACAAGAACAGAATACTGATTTGCATGTCGCAGAGCAATTGAAGGGCCTAATAGAAGGAACAGAAAAAGAAGCCATGCTTGCAAAAGCAGGACAGGCCAAGTCATAAGTCTGATTTGCAAGTCGCAGAGCCATTCCATTCCTTTTTTGCAGTTGCCGTTGTCTGCAATATTCTGCACATTAAACGTTATCCAAAGGAGTCTTCAACTATTCAATGCCACCAAAAGGGTCCACAATGACACCCCACGTAACCGGCACCTGAAGTTGAATCCCACAGTGTTGAACAAGTTCCGGGAATCGAGGCAACAGAAATTGACCCAAAAAAGAAAGCTTTTTCTCTATAATCCCTGCACGTGTTGTTGTTCCAGCCGATGGAATACCCAAGGGCACAGTCATAGAATATGGTCATGTTCACAACGGTTGGATCGAAGGGAAACAGAGTGGGGTCCAAAGAAGTGTTGGTGAAACGGAAAGAACGATTGTCGTAGGTTGGGCCGTCTGTTCGCACCATTTGACGATAAAACGAGAGGAATCGAAATCGATGAAGCTGAAGTTTTGAGAGCCAATTTGAATGGAAGCAATGTTAGGAGATGCGCAAGTGATAATGGAATCCGTTTCCTAGCCGGAAAGGGTACGATATCTGTGATCATCTTTTGAACTTGGGGATTGTGGCAGAGTCGGTGTTAACAAGAGGTAGAAGAAGAAGGAGTTGCAGAGTGTGCATGGAAGCATTCGATTATGGGGATTCCTTACGTTAGAGAATAAGAGTGTCTAGTGGTGTTTTCGATAAGCACTTAATGTGATAGTTGAAAGAAAACAGAGGATGAGGAGATGAGGAGAAGAGACGGAACCTAATGGAATTAAAATAATTATTTAAAAAAAAAGAAAAAAAATTAAATCTAGACCATCTAAATCTTATCTGAATGATATAGTAAAGATGAGCTCTGAATACTCATATTTAAGATGAGCAACCAAACTCGTTCCAAACCTAACGAAATTGTGTACCTTTTTTTCTATTTTCAATGCCATGTAACTTGGGTGCTTAGTTTAGCTTTTTCCTGGATGTACGTCCTACTCTGCATAATACATTATGCCAAACCCACACCAAAATATTAAACCACATTGAATTTCATCTCTTTCATCATTTCATCATAATGCAAACAAGCTACTCTTCCTCGATCAAAGTTAGCTCGATTAGATTAAAATCTTTAACCTCAAAACCTTGACCTATAATATGAGTAGGATCTACAGGATCCTCCATGAAACTTCTCGCTGCCTTTCCAAGAACAGGAACTGTAGTACTAATTCCGCATCCCAGAGCGCTCCAGTTAAACCATCTGTCGCCGATCAGCATAAAGTATGCTTTGCGAGGATTACCATTTACGGGGCAGTCAAATGTCATGTTAGTCGATCGGTTCATAGGAGGAGGCGTGTAAAGATTCACGGTCATATAATATGGTAAAGTTTACATTATTGGAAGTGTAGTTGAAGAAAGCATAACCCAAAGTGATGTTGTTTAGTTCGTTCGGACAGTCAGTGCCCCACAAATCCATCCTTGTTATTTTAAGAGTTGTTGTGGTTGAATTGACATCGATGACATGAAAATTCTGGAAAGCGATGTCCATAGTAACATTGTCTCCTTCACAATTCAGCTTGAAGCTTGGATGCCCACAATACTCAGGTCATGAATCGAACTAGAATGGATAACTAAGGTTGGGAAGTTCCGACAGTTAAACGGCTCGCAAGCTGAGAACCGTTCATCAGAAATGGCTAAATATTCTGGGAACAAGAGAATGAAGAAGAGGAAGGTCTTGAAGAGGAGAAGTTGAGAGGGAAGAACACAATTAGGACGACCCATGTACGGTATGATTGCAACGAAGCTCTGTGCTTGAAATGGCCAATAGCGATGACGGGAATATAATTAAATCAAAGTCAAACTATAAACCCTTCATTTAATTGGCCTAATGAGGCTAAATCTAGATGGCTTTGACTCCTTGAAGGGCACACAAATTGGAGACGGCTCACATATTCATTAGCTTCGCACCTACTGGTTTGGATTAATACGAATATTATGAATGACACATAAAATGTGGAACCTTTGACCATTCGATATATAAGACTGGACTCTTATATAACATTATGGCGTATGACCAAATAATAATAATAATAATAAAAGAGCATGAGGGGTGATTTTAAGATGAAGGTTGATAGAAGAGATGAAGGGTTCTCCCTGTTGCTAATTATTTTGAACCAAGTATTTCCCATGTAAAATACAGTGCCATGTGTAGGTGGGTATTAAACAAAATGAGTTTCATATACAAACGATCCATCAAATGCCATTTCAAAATGCTGACCATTATATATTCCTTATTTATTAGTCATATGGTCAAAAGTCAAGGCATCTAATTGCCTATTTCTCTATTTTACAAAAGGTTCCCATTAAGGCTCTGGATTGGGCTATGTCGCTTCTAGTTGGGCCTCAGATATTTGGGCTTTTACATGTATTAGGTCAATAATTGGGCTCCACATGTCAAAGAATTTCTCTGCCGGATGAGATGAAGCAAGACTACATAACACAATCTAGCCACAAAAATGGTCCTACTCAGAAAACTCAATCTTAAGAAAGTACTAGTCAATTTGAAGTTTGACCTTCCTATATATTTAAGGCACAGTTTCATCAAAACCGCTTCATCGCCTACACGTAACGACGACCACAGTTTTTCGCACGGCAAACCATGTCACAATACATAGTAGTAATAATTTACCTTCCGTTCCATGTACATACAAATGCATACAAAAAGAAGAAGAGAGAGATTATTCAAATCAAAGAATAAGTATACGACGGTCTAAACTCTCCATGAAATTGCTGTAATAGCACTTCAACAGACTGCAGAAAACTACATGCTATAAATTGCTTATTAGATATGAAATTTAAGCCTTACACTTTATTTATAGTGCAAAGATACTAACAGGAATTAAAGAGAGAGAAAGATATGAGATGCAGATTGTATTAATTAGAAGAAAGCGAAGGTACCTTTGCTGCAGATTTTGGTAGCGATACTGCCATCCCTGCAAAAGCATAGCATGTGATGATTGGTTTGATTATGGCTACAAAGTCCTCCAGAATTCTCACACTCAGCGCAATCCATCGCTCTCCGCCAATCAACCACAAAGCCTTTGTTCATAGCTTCACCAAACCCAGTCACCAAGCTATCACTACTGATTTCTTGCTTCTTCACTACCACTACCACCTTGTCCTCACAATCTATATCCAACCCATATGGATCCCACCCCGTGTTCTCAAACACGTATGACTGATTATATCCTTCATTTTTCAAGCACCCTATGGGGTTGGAAAGAAGATTAACACTAGATACGCTGCAATTGAAGTAGAAACTCAGGTTCACATTCAACTGATAATTAACACTCAGTGGGAGGGTTCCCAGGCTAACATTGTGGCGTGCTCTGAGGCAGGACTGGTCCACCACATCTACGTCGACAAGTGTTAGTGTATGATTATAGTAGTTTATATCGGCGACATAGTATGTGTTGCTTGGAAGAATGATAGTGGGTCGGCCATGATCGGAGCATTTGAGACCAAAATCAGGGTAACCACAGTATTCTGAGGCGGAATTGCTGTTCACCCAGAAAGGATACCGAATGGAAACTCCATTACCGCAACCAGCAGAGGGGGAACGTATTGAAGAATAAGAAGATACTTTGGCAATACTGTGCCTGAGGCAGAAGAAGGAGAGAGCAGCAATGAAGTACAAGGGCTTTGACATGATGATATGTCACCAACAACTGTTAAAAAAATATGTAATAAAGATGGTTCAATATATAGATATAGATTGTAGACACAGCAAGAGAGCAAAAGAGGACCAAATAGTGCTAATGTGAAAAGAATCTATATGCTCTGAGAAAGAGGTGTGGAAAAGTCCAGAATGATCATTTCAGGGGAGTCATAAAATAAACTTAGATTTACTTTTTTATTCATATAAAAATGAACCGGTATATGTTCGTAGGAAGTTTCTGCGTGCATGAATTGGGTTGAACGTACGGGAAAAGATAGGGAAAAAGTTGATAAGACTGAAGACCCGGGTCCAGCTGAAAGTTGGAAGATATATTTTTCAAAGATGAGATGGCTACTTGTGAGACAAGAATGAAAGTAGAAATAATAATAAAATTGAAGTTTGAAGAGTAAAATAAGGGAAAGCGCGTGGGCGACACGTTCATTTACTTATAACGATTGTTCGTTTAGGATATGATAAAGCAATTTGAAGGATATTGAATGCACTTGGACAAGTGGGAAGTGAATAAATAATTGGAGATTTGTTGGGGCTGGGGAAAACGGTGGATGTGCACCAATAAAGAAATACACAAGTGCATCCGGCAGTAGTATGATAGTCTCGAACTGAGAAAATTTGAAGGGCTAAAATGCGAAAATCGTATTTACTATATTAATCAATCGTTCAATCTGTGGGCTGGTTTGGTCCTTCGTTGGGTGTCCTCCATATCTGTTAGACTTAAGTTATAGGGAGAATTTCACTGAAGGACCGCAGAACACAATTAATGTCAAAGAGCCCCCAAAACTTTATGAAACCTCACTGTAGGACCAAGGGCCAATCTGATATTAATTCCACAAACAAAATAACGTCACTGCCCCTCATTTTACTTTCTCTGAAATTTGAAAATAAGGTGAAAAAGCGACAGTCAAAAGTCCTCCCGCTCTCTCTCTATGCGAACGTGATCCCACTGTGCGAAAACTCTTTCCTCTCCCGCTCTGCGAACGTGCAACCACTCTGGGAAAAATCTACCCTCTCCCGACTGCGAACATGCTACCTCTGTGGGAAGATTCTTGCCTCTAACAATATGTGAAAAGTGATTAAGTGCCTGTTTGGCATCACTTATTTGGAGCTTATAAGTAGGTTATAAGCTCTATAAGCTCTATAAGCTCGATTGACAAAATTGGGTCTGTTTGGATCAGCTTTTTTGCAATCGGGCTTTTGTTTGAAAAGCTACAATAAGCTATAAGCTAAAATTAACAGCTTATGACTTATAGCTTATGGCTTATGGCTTTTGAAATATGGAGAGAGAAAAAGTTAAGAAATTTATTACCTCTTTTGGTTCTTATTATAAGCCTCAAATAACTAATTTGTAGATAATAAAAAATCAATTAAAATTAGTTGAAAGTAATGAATAAGTTAGAAATATATTTTTATTTTTAAATATGCTCCTAAAAATATACTTTTTTTTTTCATGTTTCACTTTATATTTAAAATATTTTTTATGACTTCTTCATATTAAATTATTTTAATTTCATTGTATTATGTGAAATTATTTTTTTAATCATGTTTCATTATTTATTAAAACTCATATCTATTTTAGTCATTTTACAACCAAACTTACTTTTACTCAATCATAATCCAAACAACCTTTTACTAATCTCACTTTTGCAATATAGCTTTTCTGAACTCTAATCCAAACACAATTTAGCTTATCCAATTTAGC